CCTGCAGTAAAGAGCAAACTGTAATGGAACTAATGACTAATAATTTAATAAACCTCACTCCCCTGACAGCACGTGCTTGCTTCCACAGAGCACACCAGAGTCTTTGGATACTAAACAGAAAACCCAAAGGCTGCTCTGAATCCCGTTTGCCGGCGGCTCCAACACAGCTTTGGAGCTCCTTCAGCCCCTCCACCCACCTTCAGGATTCCTCCAGACCCACGTAGCTACAACTTTAAAGCCTTTATTAAAGGATAAATTAAAAGTATAATCTGCCCCCCGGACTCCAGCCGACACCTAAGGGGCCACCCTAGAAGCTTCCATCCTGCCGGCAGCGGAGTGAGCACAGCTAAGGGGGTTTCATAAGGCGATGCCTAGGAAGGCGCAGCCATGGCTGGTTCGTACAAACAGAAACTGTTGCCCTGGAGCAGAGCACGGTCTCATTCAGCCATGAACCAGCAACTCCATGTAAAAATCAAAGTCTGATCCCAAGCCTTCCGCTGACCCTTCAGACACAGTTCTGAAATAATGCCTGGCTTTGTAAAAGCACTGCCACGGACCGGTCAGGGCAGGAATCTCTCTCTTGAGGAAAAAGAAAATGTCCCTGAGAACTGCAGTGGGCCTGGTGCCATCAGGGAGCCTCAGGCTGTGTTACTGGAGGTGGGGGGCCAGGACTGTGAGAACCCATACTGAAGAAACGGGAAATGGCCCGTCCATCTGTACCCAAGGCACAGACATAACACGACAGCAGGGGGCTTCTCGAGGGGGCCAGAGGAAGGCTCTGCAGTTCTCCTATGAGAAACTGTCATCTCACAGATGAGAATGTGCATGCGACTCTTAACACATATCAGAAGCAAAAGCAGGCGCGTCAGCCTCCTACACAATTAGTCTTCTCCCTCTGCGGTTACATAAGATGATGGATTATCTGTCCACCCATCCAACCTGCCCGCGCTCGACCTCCCACTTGGGGCTACGTCCATTAACAGCCGTAAAGGAGTTGTGGAAAGGGAAAGCCTGTTGAGGAGAAAGTGCCCAGAGGCTGGCATAACAGCGCCTAGGAGAGCCCTACGGTGCCACCGCGCCAAGCAAGCGCAGGGCGACGGACCGCTGCAGTCTGCAACCCCCACGCCGCCCCCGCTCCCTCTTCCCCTCACTCCGGGGTGGCAGAGCAGCCCAGGCTTCGCGCCGCTCGGTCCCTCTGGACGCCGGGGCAGACAGGCGTACCGAGGGAGCACGCGCGCGCGGGGGCCGAGCGCCGTCGGGGTGGGGGCGCCCACTCGTGCTCGGGGACTGCGCGGACCGCGGCGGGCGCAAGGACCCTGGGCGGGCGCGGCCACCTGTGACCAACCGAAGATCGGCCCACCCCACCCGCAGTCCGGGAGCCGGTGTCCGGCTCGGGCCTGAAGACTCAGGGGCGCACTCGGGGTCGCGCTGGAAACTCACCTTGTAGACATTTTCCGTGAGCCGGTGCATCTCCTCCGAGCGTGAAAGCGACATGGTCCTGGGTCCCGGCTACACCACAGACCAAAGAAGGAGAACAGGCGGCGCTAAGGAAGGCAACGGATACAGCAAGAAGAAAAGGCGCGCAGACCAGGACCACAGAGCTCGGCGCCCGGCGGCCGCGGCTTTTATAGCCGCTCAGGCCCCACCCCGTTTAGACCCCGCCCCCGAGCCCCGCCCACGCCGCGCCCGGATCACCGCCCCCGGCTGTCCGCCCCCGCCCAACCCAGCCGCTGCTAGGCAACCGCCGGGCCCGCTCCCGTGTCGTCCTTCCCATTGGTGGGTTTCGGAGGCGGGGGCGCAGGGCGGGGATAGAGGCGGGACTCGGAGGCCGGCTGCGGGCAGCGATTGGCCGGCCGCCGGGAGGCGGAGGCGCGGCGCGCGCCGAGGCCCTGGAGCAGCCTGAGGGGGCCGGAGCGACAGCCGGGCTGGGGGCGGGAAGCGGGGGCGGGGTGGCGCAGGAAGGAGCGAGCGCGGGGTGTGGGCGGTGCGGGGGGCACTTGGGAGGGAGGCGGCGATCGGGGCAGCAGGCCCGCGAGGGTCCCGCAGGAGTGCGCCGGTGGCTCCCGCGCTATTGCAGGTGAGTCGGCGAGGCCTGCGGTCACCCCGGACGGTCTTCCGGAAGGGAGGACTCCCGGGGCGGGAGTGGGTGGAGACGGAGGAGGGTGCTGAATTAGAGGGAGGATCCTGAGCGCAGGAGGGCAGGCGCTGGACGGAGGTTTAGGATTCTGAGAAGAGGACCCGGGAGAGGGGCGCGTGGGGCGTGGAGAGAATCCTGGAGGGTGGTACGGTAGGGAGAGGGGTGGGGGCGGGAGTGGGGTGGGAAGCTCCGGGGGAGGAGCCTCCCAGCCCAGCGGCTGGCGGTATCAGGAAGGCTTGGCGGAGGAAACTGACCAGGTTGGCACACGGGGTTCCAGCACAGTTCCTTTGGAGAAATATTTACATAAATTAAGCGAGCATAGAGCAATTATTTGCTTTACATTGTAAAACACCAGAGCTGAATGTTTCCTTTTAATTAAACATAACACTCCAGCATCCATTTCCTGGACAGCTGGTCACTCCACTCCTTCAGCAACCCAGAGGACTCCGTGGCGCGGCTGTCAGACAGTTCGCAGGGACTCAGACGGGTCCCGTTCACTCTGCTACACGTGTAAGAAGCACAGGGAGGGATTTAGAAAGCACAGGACAGAGATTTGGCTTCCCGTTCTTTCAGCCACTGGCCCTAGTGTCCTCTTTTTTCTTTATTGTTTGGATCATTTTAATCTATATCCCTGTGTATCTGTTTTCTCGGGCTATTTCGGTTGCAAGTGGCAGAAAGCCAACTTAAATTTTATTTTTGAACTTTAATTTTTCATTGACTCGTGCAACTGGTTGGTCACAGTTGCCCCTCCCTCCCTGTATCTGTTGATCTAGACCAGCATGGTATAGTGCCTGCTCCATCCCGTCACACATTGATCCCTCCCTGATCTGAAGGCCAACAGGGAGCTGGTGCACAGGGGTAGAGGCAGCCCCTCCGGGCTTGCCCCCAGAAGATCGGAGCCATAGAGGAGAATGAGAGGCGAAGGTTGGCAGGAAAAACAGGAGGTCTCTCTGGGAGAGGGAGAAGGGGCTCCCCCAGAAAAGTTCCCATGGTCTGGACCACCCCCCCCTTCTTCTGCAACAACCCAAGACTCTTTCCCTACACCACCTACCCACAGTCACCCTGTTTCTGTCCAAGGACCATACTCGCATGGGTGACAGACTCAAGCCAGCTGTCTTCCCGCAGCCTCAGGCCTGAATAACTTCCACAGGAGTCCACAGTGGGAAGAGGGGTGTGAGGACACTTGGGTGGAAATAAACCTGCATCCTGCCTGCAGCTCAGTGCACTGTGACCAAAGGCTGGCACAGACAGGACTACTTTGGGAGCAGGGTGGGGACAAGAGGAAGACAGTCAGGACCTGTCTTCATGTCCAGCCTACAAGGACAAGTCTCCTTCAGTTCTCTAGCGGGTAATCCTAGCCCGAGTCTAGACTTCAGTGATGTTCCCTGGAGCCTTTCTGAGCCAGGCAGAAAGTAGTGGGGGCACCAACGGTCAAAGTTCACATTGCTGAGTGGGTAGGGACGCTGTAAATGGGGCGTCCAGATCTACCAGGACACTGGCTGCAAGTGGCGTTAGGAGGCTCCTCCTTCCCTGGCTCCTCTTCATCCAAAGACCATTGCAAACCTCATCTTAGACCTTTTCCCAATACATCGGTGGATGGGGAATCTGCTTACTTTCCTAAAGGTTCCGCCGCCTGGTAGCTGGGAAATTATGGCCCGTGTGTGGGCTTGCACCCACTTCTGTCCATGGGGGGGGGGGGGAGGAAACCATCCTCAAGGTGGAACCATTGTCATCCGCTCTTCCTGTGTCTCCCCAGGAGGAATAGTAAGAAGCACTGCCCAGGTGGAGACTGCCAGCCGGCATACCCTCCCAGACCTCCCATGGTGCTCCTGGTCTTGTAGCTGAGGTGGGAATGGGGCTCACTGGTCCAAGTTCTGAGGTGGATGGGAGCAGCTCTGGAGAGTCACTGAGAGCCCAGACCAGTGTCCATATGCTGCTGACTTTCCTCTTTGGGGACTTGTCAGCCCTCCCTGAGTAGAGATTGGCAGTCCCCTAGCCATATGTAATCCACATATAATCCATGCATCCACTCCTCTGAGCGCCACGAGCCTTGTAGTCAGCGTGCGTAACACTGTGCCCGCGGTCCAAGACAAGACCAACCTCTGATCCACATTGCCGCGGGTCACCGGTTTAGGGTGGGCATCGCCGGAGACGGGCTGGGAGTGGGGAGCGCCCGTGTGTATGTCTCCACAAGATTATTTTTAGTTGCGTTATATAAGTGGCTTCATCCCGGCGTCATGTAGGAAGGGGGGGTCTCAGATTTAATTACAGGATGACAGCCTTTGCATTTCAAGCAAGCTGTTCTCCTGGCAAGGCAGGCACGGATTGGGAGTCTGTGCTCAGCAGAAGCCACCCTTGGGGAAGTGACCCCCGGCAGGCTGTCACCCTGCCTTCACCTCCTTCATTTTCAGCCACTTTGCTGAGCTTGGCTTAGGAGGGTAGCCATTTGTCTAAGGTCTCCAAAGATGGTGGGAGATCTGTGCCTCTTAAGGGGGAGCTTTCCACCCCCACCCCACCCCACCCCCACCTGGCAGCTCTTCCTCTCCCGGAGGGAGGGATCTCCCAATCAGAACTCTTCTGTTTTCATTCCCAGGCTAGAGCTTTTGTAATAGGTAACCAGAAAGTTCTAGTAGGAGAGACAGAGAGGTACAGGAGCTTGTGCTTCTGGGGCTTCAGGAAAAGCCTTCCTTTTCCCCCTCTACACCCCGGTCACCCATGTTGACTTTTTCCATTCTGCTTGGCAGGTGCCTGAGCCAGGCCTGAGGACAGAAGCCTTCTTGTCTGTAGGACAATCTGAATGGCTGGCCAGCTTCTTGCCTAGAACTTTATCAGCAAAACCATGCTGGGAGCTTGAGGTGGGAGTCCCACTCCTCCCAGCAGGAAGTCTGTTTCTGCTGCAATCAGTCACTTGGGTTCATCTGGTCTTAAAGGCATAGCCTGCCACAGTGGATGGGGACAGGTTGAGACCTGACCATGTCAGGCTGGGGGGATGGGTGCAGTGTGAGGAGAAGGCCTGGGTTTAAGGAGTTCATTCTAGAAACCAGTCAGCTTGCAGGGGCAGGGCAGACACCACATGGCTCTAGCCAGGTCCCCTAGCCTCCCCCATCCCCCAAAGCAGACCTTAGGGTGCTGAGCAGTGTTGGGAGGAGTCAGGGAGTACAGAGCCATGTGGAGGACTCACGGTGTTTTAGAGACTGGCACTGCCCTGAACAGGGCGCTCTTCCCCCCCAGTCTCTCCTCCCAAGCCCAGCAAGGACAGTACAGTAGACCCCTGGCCTCTGACCAGTGCTCCCCGTGGTTCCTTGTCCCCCATCGTGACCGAAGGCAGAGAGACCGCAACCCTGGGGAGCCTGAGGAGACAGGAAGACTGAAGGTACCCTGGAGTCCTGTTGGGTCCCGGTCAGGGACACTAGATCGAGCCTGGAGAACTCTAAATGAACTGTGGACTTTAGTTAATGTGTCAGCCCTGGCTCCTGAATTGGAGTAAATATATCACACTAAGGCAACAAACTAACAACAATAGCTGGGTGGGCTCCGGCCGATTTAGGATATCTGAGGCGCTGGGCTTCATCCCTGGGCTTAGTCCCTGGGACCTCTCTAAAGAAGAAAACAAAGAGGAGGCTGTGGAGTGTCTTTGCTCTGAATGAGGAAATGTAGACCAAAGGACCTTGCAGGGCCCTGGGCTACAGGTCAGAGGGTGCTGGGAGCTGGCTCTGCACAGGGCCCATCCCTGCCTCGCTAGAGCTGAGGTCTGGCGAGCAGTTGGGCTCTCCTGCTCTCCCAGACGGCGATGCTTCTCCCCCTCCTCCCAGACTGCACCTGGGCTTTACTCTCTGCCTGGCGTGGTTCGGACCTTGCTTCTCTAGCCTCCATGTGGGCCCTGCGTTCTGCTGTAGGAGGCAGATGAGCCCTGCACACCTGACTGTTACTGGTGTCCTGTCTCCGCTCACACCTACAGTGTGGCTGCAAAGAAGGGACCAGGCGGGGCATTTGCCTGGTGGGTGGAGGTGTGAGCCTGGTCTTTTGGTTTTCCAGAGTGTTACCTGACCCTGCCTCTGTCCTCTTAAAGACACTAGAAAGTTCCATTCACAACTGCGACCTCCCACAGAGCCTCCCCTACAGGCAGGCCCAGGAAGGCAGAGGTGTGGGAGATAGACCCTCCCACCCTGCCCTGTCGCCCTGGTATGGGGGGGGGGGCATGCTTCCCCAGTAACCACCCCCCTTATGTAATCTGCACATCACATCGGCATGACTCCAGGTGCCTGTGGGAGGTAGCGCGGGGGTGAGTGCAGGGGCGCAAACAAGCCTCGAAGTTTCCTTGGGTGCTTCTCCTCTTGTTACATTCCAGCGTCAATCCTGCGTCTGCCAGCTCGGTCACCCACTTGCCTATTAGAATACATTAACTGACAATGCAGACTTAAATAACTCGGGCAGGTGACGGGCTGCAGCGGCGGGCGCCCTCTGCACCGAACCCTTGTGCAGCTGGCCCAGTGAGCTCGGAGGACTGCGGTCCAGAGATGGGACCCTGAGTGGACCTGAGGTTGGTGGGGAGGTGCAGCCGGCAGTCACACACACATACACAAGACCACACTTGAGTGCTGGGATTCGGGTGCCCTTGGCAACACAGAAAGCCCACCCCACGTCAGGCACACCCGTTCCTTCTGTACGTACCCCGCTTGTGGTGGGGTTGTGCCCTAAATGGGTAAATAAGAAAGCTGAAAGCTGAAAAAGTGCTATTCCGGTATCAGGGCAAGACCACTCTGTGAAGCCAGCTGGAGCAGCAGGAGCAGCAGCAGCAGCTTATCCCGGGCAGACCTGGCTGTACCCTCCTGCTCCGCAGAGTGCCCTACATAGGCCGGAGTGGTCCCTTACCTTCCCTGGGATAGGATGAAAACCAAACCTTGCTTCCTGATCACTGTACAGATTCGCTCATCCCCAAACAAAACATCCCCTCTGCTTCCTTGTTGCTCTGCCTCTTACGTTGCCTCGAACACGTCTAAAGGTGTTTTCAGGTTGTGGCAGAGGACATTGTTTTCCAGACCCTGAAGTCAAAAGACACCCAACCCCGGAGCCCCGGGGTGTTCCGCCAGGTCCTTCCCCACTGCAGCACAGCCGTCCCCAGCTGGTCCTGCCAGAGTGAGAAGCCCAGACATGTACACGCTGCTTCCCATGCTCACAGATGGCTTCCCTGCCCAGGGCTGGCTGCTGCTAATTTCGGCTGCTGGAGGCTCCGTGCGCGCTCTCTCTTTTTTTAATTCCATGTTTATTTAAAGCCAGATTTTGAAATCTTGTCTTCAACTCTGAAATCTGAAATTTTCTTGCAGCGGATCTTCCCCCCCCCCCCACAGAGGACACAAAGTCTAGGGAGGTTTGAGAACAACTGGTCAGGGCCCCTCACAGCAACCATGTTGCGTCAGCATGGGGCTCAGGAGATCCCTCGAACATGTTTGGTGTTTCCATGTAAACAGGGGGAAGCCGTGTAGAGTGTCTGATCAGAGGCCAGCGCCTCCCCTGCTGCCTGGAGCTGCGGGCGGGGCGGACTGGGACAGTACTGACTCATCTCTGCCACAGGGCCTGTTGTGGCCCAGGACCTGGGACCCCAGTGCCAACCTTCCAGTCATCTCTCAGGCTCTCAGAGCTCCCCTTACCCATGGAAGCCACTTCCAGGCTCTTCCTGCTTTCTGGGAGATGCAGCCTACCCAGAAGGGATCCTGGTTTAGGGCTCAGTAGAGGACGTGTCCAGCTCACTGGTGTGTTGACACAACACTGGGCTGCTCTCAGGCGGACCAGTGTCCTGACACCCACAGTGGAACTCTGCCCCCGAGTCTGGGACCTAGAAGACTCCACCCCTGGCATGGTGAGGGTGCACCCAGTGCATGGCGCACAACCACAGCTCCCCTTGGCCAGGGCGGAGGCAGAACCTGCTCCAGGAGGAAGGTGTGCACCCAGGGAAGCAGCAGAGCGGCTAAGACACTGGCCAGGTTCCCCTGCCCGCCTCTGCCTCTTCCTCCCCAGACCCAGGGAGGGAAGTCTGGTCAGACAGAGATGACTGGGAGAGTCCTGGGCTGCTAAGCTTGGCAGTGCCGTGTCTGCAGCAGGCTCCTGTCTTCTCTTGGGGCTGGGACACAGAGGACTGTAGAACGCTAGCTAGCTGTCCCCTGTCCATATGAGAGGAATACTCTGTCCTTGCCAGGAAACCATGGCTCCAAAAGGACAGGCGCAGCATCTCACCCCCGTCCAACCAAAGGTCAGCCGTCCAGCCTTTCCAAATGTCACTCTGCAGCCAAAGCTGGCAGGAACGCGGAGCTGCCAATGCGCCATGGAATTTACTGCTAACGCTCACCCCAGGGCGGAGGGCTTTTCTGCGGGAGCCAACAAAATCCTTTCTGCTCAGCCTGAGGAGTTGGCTTTCTGAGTTTCAGAGCCGGTCTTGGTGAACTTGGTGGTGTTTCCCTGTCTTCCCAGGCTCCCAGTGTTTCCAAGGAGAACACCCCATATTCTGGATTCCAGAGGCTTAGGCAGGACACAGGCTCAGAGCTCCAGAGCCCTGAAGTTGAACTGTGTGACCTGGCCATTTCTTCAGATGTGTGCGTATGTGTGTGTGTCCGTGTGTGTGTACCCATGTGTGTGTATCAGTGTGTATCCGTGTGTGTGTATCCGTGTGTATGTATCCATGTGTGTGTATCCGTGTGTATGTATCCGTGTGTATGTATCCGTGTGTGTGTATCCATGTGTATGTATCCGTGTGTGTGTATCCGTGTGTGTGTATCCGTGTGTGTGTCCGTCCATGTTCTTGAGCACTGTGTCGCTGTTGACATGAGAACAATTGGAGCAGAGCCCGTGAGTGGCTCCTGGGCTTCCAGCCTGACTGCTTTTATCTAGGACCTCATCCCTTTTGGTTTTACGAAAGACTTCAGGGATCCTTGCTGAGGACTCCCTGAATGTCTTCATCCTTCTGAGGGTTCCCTTTGCTGCCCCCTGGTGGAACGTCAAAGAAAGTCGCCCTGGCATGGTGAGAGTGGCTGGCAGACACAGTGCAAGGTTTCAGACTTTGTGAGACCGGGCTGCACCTAGGACGCGAGTAACCCAGGCAGTCGCCGACCCTTGGCTTGGCCCGGCTCCAGAAGGAAGGTTAAACTCCTCCCTTCAGCTGAGGGAGAGAGAGGAGGCAGACAGCTGCTGTGGGCTCTGCCAGAGCCTGTAGAGGGGACATGGCAGCTCGTACACCTACCAACCTGGGGCTTCCGGGGACTGCTGCGCATGCTGTCTTCTTAGGAGAGGGGTAAGTCACTTAAGGTGTGCAGTTCTGTCCGTTTGAGTGACAGGCAGTGGTTTATAACCTGTACCACCGCCATCTGTCTGCCAAGTGCAAAGTCGTTTTTTCTCTTCCCTCGAGAGTTTCATGTTTGCTGGCTTGGGTTTTGGTTGGTTGTTGTCCCTTTGTTTTTGAGATAGGGTCTCCTATAGCCTGAGTTGACCTGGAACTTGTGGTGTGGTTGAGCTTCCCAGGCCTCCCGTTGCCACCTCCCAAGTGTTAGGAGCTGGGATTGAAGGTGGCGCGCATGTGTGAGGTGCAGGCCCAGCCTGGCACGCTGAGCAGCGTGGCGCTCCCCCGGACAAGCCATGTCCTCAGCCTGGAACTGATTGTCGTGGAGACTCTGTGCTCAACTCGCAAGGAGCTGGCTGCCATTCTCCCCTCTCTGGGGATCCTTGAGGCTGCCAGGTCCCCTCTATCCTCACCAGCATACCTTACCCCCCCCCCCCCCGTTGTTTTAGACCATAACCACCCTGGTGAGCAGGAGAGGAGCCGTTGATTTCCTTACCGTCTCCCTGGTGGCTGATGAGGGGCTTGCAGCCTCTTCTCTGGGTTTCGTTTGTTATGATGACTTTATCCCATGGAGAACATCATAGGTGAACATGCATCTACATGACTCCTAATGTAGTCACCCCCCCAACGCCACCCATACCCCCTCCCACATTCATGATCTCGTCTTTGTTGTTATTGTTACATGTATGTTTAATGTGTATATGTACACACAAATAGAAATAATCCCTGAGTCCCTTAGCTTTGAGTCTGTGCACCTATGTCCAGAGCTGACCTCTTAGGACTGGACAGAAGTCTTCTCTTTTTGTTTTTCGAGACAGGGTTTCTCTGTGTAACAGTCTTAACTGTCCTGGAACTAGCTCTGTAGACCAGGCTGGTCTCAGACTCAACAGAGATCTGCCTGCCTCTGCCTCCCAAGTGCTGGGATTAAAGGTGTGCGCCACCACCGCCTGACTGAGTCTTCTCCTTTCAGAAAAGAGCCACAGCCTTCACTCCAGTGCTTCCATCATATGGGAAGGAGCATGCAGGTCAGGTGCCTCGGGACAGCCAGCCCTGGCAGTGCCCACTGACGCAGCCATGTGAGTCGGGTAAGGGAGAAGTTCCCAGCTGCTCCTTACAGACACTTGTGAGAGCCCAGGTTAGCATGGGCAGGGCTGAGAGGCAGCAGCCAGGGAGCCAGGTCAATCCCTGCCAGGGGACAGCACCCAGCACTGAGGGGTGGAGTAGGCAAGCCTTACTCACAGGGTGCTGGAAGGGGAATAGCGGCCTGGGACGAAATGGGTTTCCCCAAGTCACGAGCCTGAGGATGGGTGATAGACAATCTCTTCCTGATAGGCACAGCTGTGCTGTCTGCCCCTGGCGGCCGGAGCCGTGGCAGCTTCGGCAGGAGTGAACTTGTGGAAGAGTGTGAGGGAGAGGCCGGGAAAAGAGCTGCAGAAGCAGCTACTCCCCCCCCCCCCCCCCCGCGTGAGGACCAGCAATCATCAAAAGCAGAGCGGCAGCCCGGTGTCACCCTCACACTACAGCCATTGCTAACCTGGGGGGCTGCTGTCACCACACCCTGCACACGGTCCTCCAACCTCATTGTCCCTATAAGCAGAGGAGCTCTGGCTGGCCCCCAGGGGACTCCCACACTAGTGGAGGTCAGAGGACAGCTTGTCTGAGTTAATTCTCCCCTATCATTGAGTCCCAAGCATTGAACTCAAGGCCTCAGGCTTGACAGCAAGCGTCTCCACTATTTAACTGTCGCACTGGACTAGTGGAAGGGTGTATATTTGTTTGTTTGTTTGAGACTACGTCTCCTTATGGTTCTGGCTGTCCAGGAACTCGCTAACTTTGAACTCAGAGCTACACCTGCCTCTGCCTCTAGCCCTGGAAGTAAAGGTGTGCGCCGCCACGCCCAGCCCATTCCAGTCTCCACTCTTGTCTCTCAACTCCTCAGAAGTCCCTGTGCTCTTGAGCTAAAATGAGGACAATATAAACTATTTTTAAACAGTTATCACAGAAGTGAGCAGGGGTGACGCCTCCCAGAGGCTGAGCAGCAGGGAGCTGGGCCAGTGTCCTTGCAGAAGTGCTGAAGTCTGTCCCTGCAGGGCTGCAGTGGTCCCCTGCAGGGCTGTGGCTCAAGCAGATGTTCCTGAGAAGGCTCAGCTCAGCGGGAAGGGAATGCTTGTGGCCTGCTCAGGCTGGGGGCCAAGGGAGTTTCCACCCTCCCTCCCAGTTCAGCAGCAATGAGACTCCAGGGCCTCTGGCCACACAGTCACAACAGCAGCTTCATTCCTAGGTGACCGGTCCTGAGTCACAGACTGTGGGCTCGGACTTGTCACGAGCAGCGCTTACGGTGCGCAGCCTGGAATTCGCTGTTCGGAGTCTGGTCTCAGCCGAAAGTCTCCGTTATCACTACATCTCTGCTGCTTCCTCTTTTGAAAGAGAAACGGTGCTAAGTGGGCTCCAAGTCCGTGTCTGCACGCAGGTTGTCGGCCCACGATTCCCAAGGCTGGACTGTCGAGGGGTAGACTCTGCTGACGCCAGGCCAGGGGCCCCACATGGCTGCTCTTTGCAAATGAAGTTTCTATTTGTTTGTACGTGCTTTAAAATATATTTTAATGTATATTTAAAAGATTTTATTTATGGGTATGAGTCTTTTGCTTACATGTATGTATGTATGTGCACCACATGAAGCCAGAAAAGGGCATCGGGTTCTCTAGACCCAGCTGTGAGCCAGCGCACCTGGCTCTTACGGGCTGGGGGGGGGGGTGAAGCTCATTTTGCATGCTAGGCAAGCACTCTACCAGCTGAGCCACTTCCCCAGGCTCTGTAAATAAAGTTATATTAGAGTCTCACCATGCTTGCGCACTCACTAGCTCTGCAGACTTCAGAGACACAGAGGGACCACACTCCCAGAGCGTCCCTTCCAGTAGTGCTGGCGTTGATGCCCCAGCGGGAAGCTACTGGCCACCTCACTCCAGGCCTCACTACTGAGCTGGCTAGAGGGCTGCCTGGCTTTGCCATGGCTGCCCCTGCTTGGCTTCTGTTCCCGCGACCGCGACCCATTCTCCAGGGCTTCCAGCCGTGCCCGTGCTTTGAGCCCCTGACTGTCTCCTGTGCACTGAGAACCAAATGGTTCACCCTGGCCTGTCGCTCCTGTTGGTGCTGGCCCTCTGCCACCTCCCACCCCTGAGAAGCTTGTCGTCTTGAAGCAGAGACTGGTCTTCCATTCTCCACTCCTGGCTTGCTTTTGTCTTTGAGACAGGATCTCAGTGTAGTCCAGGCTATCCTCAGAACCACAGGAATCTGCCTGTTTTTGCCTCCCCAGTGCTTGGGTTAGAACTGTGTGTCACCACACTCAGCCCAGACTCCACTCTTGTCAAATGCCCCTCAAACCGTGGCTTGTCATTAAACCCAGTGTGACAGAACTTGGCAAGTGCCAGCTGCAGATGGTCAGCTCTGCTTCTGCTGTCCACCCCTCTGGACTAGCCCTGCTCTCTCTGTCATTGCTGCCACTCCCTGCTGCTTTTGTAGCAAAGACTGTTACATTTGTGTCTGCTTCGCTGGCTCTTGGAGCATTGGTTTTGCCTTAAATGACTCCATCTGATGTGGAAGTCAGTTTCCTGTACTTAACTTTTTTTTTCTTTTAAGACAGGATGTCTTAGTTACTTTACTTATTTCTATTGCTGTGATAAAGTACCATGCCAAAGGCAACTTTTTTCTTTTTTTTTTCTAGACGGTTTCTGTGTAGTTTTGGAGCCTCTCCTGGAACTCGCTCCGCTCTGTAGGCCAGGTTGGCCTTGAACTCACAAAGATCCACCGCCTCTGCCTCCCGAGTGCTGGGATAAAAGGTGGGCGCCACCAGCACCCAGCCTCTTGCTTTTTTTTTTTTTTTTTTTTTTTTTTTTTTTAGAAAATGGCCTCTGTTGGTGGTGGCGTCTTTAATCCCAGCACTTAGAAGGCAGAGGCAGGACGATCTTTGTGAGTTCAAGGCCAACCTGGTTTACAGAGTGAGTTCCAAGGGCAGCCAGGGATACACAGAGAAACCCTGTTTTTTAAAAACCAAAAAGCAAAAAAAAAAAAAGCTTTTGTGCCAGGTGTGGTGGGTGGCACATACCTTTATTTATTTATTTATTTATTTATTTATTTTATTTATTTATTTAGGTTTTTCGAGACAGGGTTTCTCTGTGGTTTTGGAGCCTGTCCTGGAACTAGCTCTTGTAGACCAGGCTGGTCTCGAACTCACAGAGATCCGCCTGCCTCTGCCTCCCGAGTGCTGGGATTAAAGGCGTGCGCCACCACCACCCAGCTCTGGCACATACCTTTAATCTCAGCACCTGGGAAGCAGAGCAGTCAATCTGAGTCTCAAGAGTGACCCCGGAGGAAGATCCCACAATCCCTCTGCACGTAGATCCTTGGATGACGATGGACACTGGTCCCCTTGGGTCCTGATTATAGCAGCTTTTGTTCATCCCTAAGGTCTTTCCTTTCACAAGCTGAAGTTTAGCTGGGTGGAGCCTTGCCCTGGGTTTGGCTCTCCATCTCCTTCAGCACAAGCCTTGGCTCCAGCATTAAATTTCCCGATGTCCTTTTCTTCTTTTGACTGCATCTCCTGCTTATTCTTGCCCCGCTTGCTTTTTTTTTTTTTTTACCATGATTGCTAATAACCGTGTGGCAGCCACCATGAGGGCTGCTTTGAAATCTCCACCAAAGACATTTGTCACTGTAAATCTAGCCTCCAGCAAAGTCTGAGGGCAAGGATAGAGAGCAGCCACATTCTCCGCCAAAATATCAAAAGATTGGCCTCTGGCCCAGGTGTTGACGTCTTTGCTTCCATCCAGGGGCAGCGGCACAGGCAGAGGCAGGGGGATCTCTGTGAGTTTGAGGCCAGCCTGGTCTACATAGAGAGTCCCAGCATGGCTAACTCTACACAGAGAGATCTTGTCTTTAAAAAAAAAAAATCCTTCCTTCTCTCTGAGCTTCTCAGCCTGGCCTCCACAGCACACGCTACTCTCAGCTGCGTGACCTGTTAAGATCTGCTCAAGGGTTCAACTGCTTTTCTAGTCCAGATTCTTCCATATTCCTCCAAAACCATGGTCGTGTTTCTGCACGGCACACACACACTCTCACACACTCTCACACGGTGCACAGACATGCACCACCCTCACAGGCTAACTCTTTAAAGTTATTGGGGAGCCGGGTGGTGGTGGCGCACGCCTTTAATCCCAGCATTCGGGAGGCAAAGGCAGGCGGATCTCTGGGAGTTCAAGGCCAGCCTGGTCTACGAGAGCTAGTTCTGGCCAGGCACCAAAGCCACAGAGAAACCCTGTCTCGAAAAACCAAAAAAAAAAAAAAAAATGTTATTGGGGACAGAGACAAGGCTTTTACCCAGGCAGCAGTGGCGCGCGCCTTTAAACCCAGCACTCGGGAGGCAGAGGCAGGCGGATCTCTGGGAGTTCGAGACCAGCCTGGTCTACTGAGCTAGTTCCAGGACAGGCTCCAAAGCTACAGAGAAGGAAGCCCTGTCTACAACACAAAACAAAAGGTTCTTGCTGTTCTTCCAGAGGACCTGAGTTCCGCTCCCAGCACCTGCATCACGATGCTCTCAGCCACCTGCAACTCCGGCTCTACAGGATCCGACGCTCTCTCTGACTGTGGCCGTCCCCACACGCGGATGCGGCATACACTCAGAAATCTTCTAGAAAACTATGAGCACGGATTGGGGTCTACTAATTCACGGTTCCCAGTCCACCCCCACCCCACCTTCCTGTCTCTCTGCTCCCCTCTCCTGCCTTCTGTTGCATCTTCTCATATCATTTTAATAAACCTTTTGGTTTTCTGGCTGCATCTCTCTGTGTGGATTATGAGTCATGTTGCTTTGCGTGCTAGAAACTGACCCCAGATCTCTCGTAAGTGCTCGTCCATGTAGACGCACCCCCGTCTTTTTCTTTTGAAACAAGGTCTCACGGCATTGCTCAGACTGGCCTAGAGTTCGGTACAGCCCAAACAGATCTTGAACTTAAGATCCTCCTGCCTCAGCATCTGAGGCTGCTGGCATGGCAGGTGCCCTGCTGTTTTAGTAGCCACACTAGAGATTACAATTGTCACATGTAAACTAGCGCCCCAATGCTTGCATTGCCCGTGGAGCCGTGTGCACTGTGGCTTCATGCCCTGGAATCTCACCGCAGTGTCCCTGTTGCTGTCTCATCATGTGCATTTTTTACGCTGCTGTTTAAACAGAAGAGGATCTCTCCACTGCATTTAGTTTTTGTTTCCTTTTTGCTTTTCGGAGACAGTCTGGCTGTGACCACAGGCTAGCCTTCATCTTGGGCTCCTTCTGCCTCGGTTTCCTGAATTCACAGGGATTTGGGGTGGTGACTCCTGGCGCTGCTGCCTTTTCTGTTCTCCCTTTTCCTGAAGATACAGATCGCTCTGACTGCATTGCCTGCATTCCTGAGGCGGGGCTGCACAGTGGTCCTAGGGTTTTCCTCCTCCTCCCTGTGGCTCCCTCTGGAGCCGAGGTCTCCCCGGATCGCTGCACTCTGCTTTGGAAGTGCCTTCTCTTTAAGTTTGGCTGCAGGCTTCTGGCTGCCATGTTTCCGATGAAGACCCTGCAGCCACCCAGCATCTCTTTTGGGGGTAGCTTTCCCGGGCTTGAGAGAGGCTTGAAAGCTACCATAAGATGTTCATTCCACACAGGATGCTTTGACACAGGAGAAAGATAACCCAGAGAAGATGCATCTCACCTCAGATAAGTGATTCAAAGCCAACCTGTCTGTCTTTCTTGATTGATTCTGTGAGTATGCGCTCCCGTCCCGTTTGCGCACACTCATCTACTAGAAGCTGGAAGAGTGTTTGGTCCCTTTGTGGAACACCTGGCTTACGTGGAGTTACATGGAGTTACGTGGAGTGGGGTCTGAACTCTGGTAGAGTTGACACTTTCCTGTGTAGGTCATTCACTGTGGTCTGTGTCAGCCCCGCTGGCTGAGCGGTGTCTAACCTGGAAGGAAAGTGTGTCTGCCTTCTTCACACACCAGGGAGAGTGGAGACTGCTGGGACAGGAACGCCCCAGTGAGCCTGATGCATCGCTCCTGAGGCTGGCTGGGGGAGCCAGGAACTCCCTCTGGGTATCACCCCCTTCTGTGTAGACAAACAGATGTGTTCTTATGGGTGCCTCGGGCTTCCAGCTGGGCCGTGGGGGTTACACCTGCCATCCCAATAGAAGGCTGAGGTAGACCGAGAATTGCCACACCCAGGAGGCTAGCCTGGAAACAGACTGTCTTGGCGCTTAGGGGGACTGGCTGCTCCCCCACAGTCCAAGCACTCACACTGGGCAGCTCACAACTGCCTGTGGCTCCGGACACTGAAATCTGATGCCCTTTTCTGGCTCCCACAGGCACCTGCACACACATGGGAGCATGTGTGCATGCGTGTGTGTGTGTGTGTGTGTGTGTGTGTGAGTATACAAAAATATACCCCTCCCCAAATAACTTTAGAGCCAAATGCGAGCTCTGAAATGAGCGTGGAGAAATTGAGATAGGTATATGTTTACGTTACCCTTCTCCCCCAGAATGTTTCCTAGCAAGGCACAAGGGGAACACTGATCAGTGCTGGAGAACAAAGTAGTTTTTCGTTTTGTTTGTTTTGAGGCAGGGTCTTACCATGTAGCTGCGGAACTCATAGAAACCCACCTGCCTCTGCCCTCTGAGGCAGCCCGGCCCCACATGGTTCTTAAACAGATCGTAGTCTGGAATGATCTACCGACATAGAAAGACTCATAGTGCCGGGTGATGGTGGCGCATGCCTTTAATCCCAGCACTCGGGAGGCAGAGGCAGGCGGATCTCTGTGAGTTCGAGACCAGCCTGGTCTACAAGAGCTAGTTCCAGGACAGGCTCCAAAACCATAGAGAAACCCTGTCTCAAAAACCAAAAAAAAGAAAAAAAGAAAAAGAAAGAAAGACTCATAGTGCCTACCCCTAATACCACCCGGGAAGGACGGATCTGCTCAGACAGTCCCCTCGGTGGCTGGTGTGAACCCCTGTCTAACCACAGACACTGGGGCACTGCTATCATCCTTCACCCCAGCTTTGCAAGTGAGTCCCTGAACAGCTGGGCACCATGGTGATGAGTGACTGCCCGCCTCAGACTCACTGCCCACTGGAGCTGATGGAGCAGCTGTGGGAGGCCCTGCCCATTGCAGCCATGGGGAAGGTGTCACCGGCCTCGGAACACCTGCTGGTAAGCGAGCCTGTGGCCACCAGCCTCTAGATTCCAGCCTTTTCTAAGTGCCACCAAACCAGGCTTCCTCAGCTGCACTGGTGTTTGTGGCTGCCGAGCTATTTCCTCTGACTGGTACCGCTGAACCATCCCCTCCCAGGCGGAAGAGAGAGGCTCCTCAGACTGGGGGACCTCACCGGATTGGGAAGGTCCCCAGGCTGGTAAGAGCGAGCAGCTGCCAGCAGTGGGCGCATCCAGCAGGACCTCTTCACCTCGGGTTGGACAGGACAGTGGAGTTTTCAATGATGTGGCTGCCGGGGTCTCCTTGCTCTTGGGAGGGCCCCTCACCCTGGCTCTGCATGTGACTCCCAATAAAACCTCTGCTCTACCACATGGACCTTGGGTGACATCCTTTCTTTGTCTTTCCCTGCCCAGCGTGAACAGATGTCTGATCATGTCTCTCTGGAAAAAGCCACACGTCACAGACTCTGCATGCGTTTTTCTTACTGTGTGTGGGGTATGTGTGTGTACCATGCTTAGGACACGTAGAGGCCATCAGACAACTTTATGTTGCTAGGGAACCAGTTCTTTGTCCCTTTATGCGGGTTCTAGGAATCTAGCTCAGGGCCCGGGGCACCCAGCACCTCCACCTGCTGACCCTCACAGGTCCTCTGTGTTCTGGTAACGTTGACCCAGGCTGGCCTGACTGGAGCTGTGACCCCATTTTGAGCATTGGCTGTCACTCCGCTGGCATCTCTCCTAGCTTCAGACCATAGATCCGACTCCCCTAAGCTGATACCCGTGTACCCCGAAGCCATCGGCCCCATCCTTGAGTGCTCTGTGTGCAACATCCATCCCTGAGACTGACCGGATCGGTCAGCCATGGCTCCATCCTACCCACAGGAACTCTGCACTGTGTACAATGGCCCTGGCCTGCTTCTCCTCTCTTTGGCCTGGGAGTGGGATGGAGACGAAGTGGGGCTAGCTGCCCAACCCAAAACCAGAGGGGTTTCCCCAGACAGCACAGAAAGGGAACAGAAAACAGCCAACTTGGAAATGGAGAACTCAGACGATCTATTTGCAGACAGATGATCTGTCTGGAAAATCCTAAGGGCTATGAGAATGGCCCAAACAGCTCAGGAGGGCTGTGAGGCACAGAGCAGCACACACCTACAGTGCCAGCATTTGGGAGGCAGAAGCAGCTCAGTTTGAGGCCAGCCTGGTCTACACAGTGAGTCCTAGGTCAGTTCGGGCTGCATAGAGTGACTCTGTCTCAGCAGCACAGAACCATGGTTGCATGTACCTACAACCCCTGCACTGGACAGCAGAGCCAGGTAGAACCCCAGAGGCACGGGCCAGACAGCCCCCCCAAACAGAGAGCTTTTGTCTCGAGGCAATGAGGCTGAAAGTCGCAGGTGGTGGAAAGACACCTGATGTCCCGCCCTGGCCCCTGTGCTGGTTTGAATGAGAAATGCTCCCAGTGGGCTTGGATATTTGAACACTTGGTCCCAGGTTGGTGGTGTTGTTCTGGCAGTGGCGGAAGCTCTGGGAGGCGGAACCTTGCTGGAGGAAGAATGTCCCTGGGAGGTGGACTCTGGGTTCATACTCTCTCTCCCCACTTCCTGTTTACTTTCTCTGCTTTCTGAGAGGGATGAAGATGTGGTCTCCCGGTTTTCACTTCTGCAGCCACACCTCCCTGGCCACTGTGGGCTCTTCTGTAAGTTGCCTTGCTCGTGGTGTTTCCTCACAGTACAAAGAGCCGCTGATGTGCCCCTCGTGTGTGCACCACACACACAGAGGAAAGCAAATTTGACAAAGCCAGTGTCCTGGAAAGGTAAGACTTGGCTGCGAGAGCAGACCGAGCTCCTGGGTCTGAAGGCTCCGGCTCGCTCTCGCTTGCTCGCGGGACAGCACTCTCGCTTTATCCACAGGCTGCGCCCCCATCTCCATCAGAGCTCCGCGCCATCTGGCTCCTTTGCAGAAACTGAGATGCTTATCCTAAAATTCATATGGAAATTCCAGAGCCCACAACAGCCCAAATGGTCTCATAAAAGAATGAAGTCAGAGCACTCAGTTCCCGATCTCAAAATCTACGACAGGGATACAGGAGCCTATAAGGCTGGCACCCTCCGCTGCCACGGGGCTCTTCAAGATCATTGCTCTGCCAGGATGCTAGAATACTTCGGTGGGGAAAATTCTCTTTCTCTCCCTCTCCCTCCCCCCTTCCCTGCCTCCCTCCCTCCCTCCTTCCCTCCCTCTTCCTCTTCATTTGGATTTTTTTGAGGGGAGGGGTTTCGAGACAGGTTTTCTCTAGGTAGCTTTGGAGCTTGTCCTGGAACTCACTCTGTAGACCAGACTGGGCCTCGAACTCACAGAGATCCTCCTGCCTCTGCCTCCTGAGTGCTGGTGTTTAAGGTGTATGCCACCACCGCCCAGATATCCGGTTTTCTTGTTACTCCACAGCTGGGCGGACCTGGAAGTCCTGATCTTCCAGCTTCAGTTGCTCAAGCGTGGTGACCTCTGACCTACTGTGCTGGACAGCGGGACATCTACTTATGAAAGAATGAAGTCAGACCTACCAGCCTCACAGCACAGACCGAGTTAACTCAGCAGGGAACAAAGCC